CTTTTTCCCCCCCCCCCCCCCCCCCCCCCCCCCCCCCCCCCTAAATTTTGCATTAAACGAAAATATTCACTGCAAAAAGTGGAGACATTCGGAAGGGTAATCCTAAATAACAGCACTTGGTCACCAAAAAGCAACTATCAGCTAGTAAACCTATCAATGAAATTTTCTTTTTTAGTAAATGTGTTAAGATCAAAATAAGGAAATTCCTGATTTCCTAGTATATGCTTCTCCTAATTTAAGGAATAACGAACCGGTTTAGCTAAACTTTCCCAAAATAAACCATGGATTTCAGCCCGAGGATTACATCATCTGTCACTGCTGTGAGCATGTCAACATGACTAAAGCACTTTTATTCAAATTTTTTGAAGGAAAAAACCTATCTGAAAAGCGAAAAAAATTCACCTGGCAATATTTTCGAATGCAAAGCAATATTCCTTTGCAAAAACTTGCACCCTTTATCATAACTTTTCCAAAACAATCGCTCTTCGGATGCCACCGTATCCAATATTTCGTTCTCGGATGCCAAAACATTGTTGTACAGTGGAGCCTGTACAACAATAAAGTAAAAAAACAGGTATCAAGGTGATAAATTCAGATATAAAAGTACCCCCGAAGGGAAAAAAATTAGGATCAATAGATGGCCGAATTAAAAATGGACGGTCCAAGTGAGGTAGCCGAACTGGGTTAAACTGATAAAAATTTTTTGGCCGTTGATAGACCAAACCAGACTTTCTGAAGCATCGGCCAGTCCGAGCCGTTGAAAATACGGGGTGGCCGAAATCCATAGATTTTTTTTGCTGGGGAGGGGAGGAAATACGGATTGAGGACAGGATAGAAAAGAGGAACAAGGGTACCAGTCAGGAATTCGAAGCAAATTTTTGGGAAGTGGTTAGGAGAGGAACAAAACCTGCAGGACACCACCCCTCTTTGCTCCCCTCCCCCTCCCCCCTTTACCACCTACCACATTCGAATTCCCGCCATTCGTCGTGGTGAATCCTACCCGTATCCTACCCGTCCTGCCACAAAAATTCGCAAATCGTGTATGATACCAGCCGAGCCGAGTCGAATTTTAGTGATTGTCATATATTTTCTTCATCAACTGTGTGGTCATTTCGCCCACATGTTAGCTGTTCTCCTAAGCCCCTCTAACCCCAACAGGAGGGGATAACCTTGAAATTAATCACTTAAAAATCTTGAAAATAACAAAACACAGAGAATATTTCTCAAATCAAAATTACACGAAATAAAAATTACCATGTGTTTGACGAAACCAGGAACCAAAGTGGCCAGTGCTTCACGTTCAGTACCCAATGTTAGAGTTAAATTCAGTACTGCGCGCCGTATAACCTTCCGGAGATGATATCTGAAAATATAAACTGAAAAAATATGGTATTTCCTACTTAATAAGATCATAGCGAAAAAGCGGCGATGTTTGATGTTCAGCACACAACAAGGATATCTTGAAACAGCTAAAGCTTTGCCAAGTGGTTCTATAACGAGAAAATCGCTGAGTTGGTATTCTCTTCAGAAAACGAAACCAAAGCCAGTACTATCAACAAAGTGACCATAAAAAACACTGCAGTACCTGGAACATGCCAATGCTAGCTACTGGCCCAAGTGTTCTGATGATTATCACCCCTGCACTAATAATTAGGGGCTGTACTGATGTTTTCACCCCCTAACCATACCTTAAACTGTCTGCCTTCACAGCTTAGGGATGAAACACAGCTAGAGTACCCTACATACTCCTGGTACATGGCTATTCAACTTGTTAAAATTTTCAACCTCTCAAAAGATTTGTACCACATTATCAAGCCAACTATCTTCCCCGCCACCATCGTTCAGTATCAAATTCTATCTTTCCAGCCTTAAAACATGTGGCATTGGCATTCAGCCGTACTGAATTTTCTTTGGTTTACATAGCCCCTTACTTTACAAGGCATGCTTCAGCCTACCTACGGCTGCAAATTACTACTTCACAACTTCAGCCTCCCCGTCGATCCTGCTTGGAACGACCAATTTTGGCTAGGCTTCTATCGGCTTTCCTTTCTATTCTATTTCCTAGGAACATGCATTTCCAAAACCACCAAAACGGCGGAGGGGCTGCTTGAAAGTAACTCGGCTAACCCTCGATTTCGTGAACCGGGCTTTACACCATCAGCAATCATAATACAGGCAGCACGAAGATGGTCCGCAATGATACGATATGCTCGATCTCTTCTGCCCGATTCACTCGTTTCTTCCACTTGCCCACTGTATCGTTGCGCTTTTGAACACTTCAAAATATAACATACAAATTTTTACAGTCTGCAACAGAAAGCAGCATCATTTTCACGCTTTTTTTAAAAGATTTATGCAAATTATGAGAAATTATGAGATTATTATTGCTAAGATTATGATTATTATTAATATGTATTATGATTATTAAGGTTGTTTTATCATGAGAATTACGGTGAGAATTATGAGGTTTATGATTAAAATTGTTAAGATTATTAAGATTACGAGAAATATGTATTGTGAACGAAATATATGTATTACCTTGTGGATAATTTCAATAAGCGGAGCAAACAGATCCGTATCGTATGTGGAGCGCAGTCCTTGAATTATGCTTAGCAGTCGCTCAAAGCCCATTCCACAATCTACGTACAATGATGGCAAATTAGTTATTTTCGTTGATAAATCCCTAAAATCAATAGTCGACCTAAGAATACAAATTAAACTCTAAAAAGCTGTAAAGAAATGAAGAAAATCGTTTATGAACTAAAATTAACTTGGTAAGTTAAAGCAAGTCATACTAGCATAGCTTCAAGTAAAACTACAGCTCAGAGATGAAACACAGACAGGCTACAAGGTCACTGTACATACAGGCTTGCTTATTTGGGAGGTCTAAATGGCACTTCCAGCTTTTTATTATCAAAATTTGACTGTGTTCCTCTTCATGATAAGCCAGTAACAACAAACAAACTGCATATATTAAAACATAGAAGATTTCAGGCCCCCGTCCTCTTCCAGTAACTCCTAACCAGGGATATTCATTGTTTGTATCTTTAAAATTTCTACAACGCTTTGTTTATCAAAACATCGCTATAATATTCCTTCTATACTAAAACACAAATTACCTGTTATCAAAACCCTCTCCTCCCTTGCGAGACGGAAGTATTCGGAAAGCAGCCCGTGCGGTAGCAAATGCCAATAACAACCACTCGTTGGTAAAACTCTTGATAGCGTCCTTTTTTAAATATGACTTACAAGCAAGCTTTTGGCAGATTTGACCCCTCCGGATATTCCAGCGCCAAATTATAGTTAAAAATAAACCAAAACATTTTAAAAAAGTCGGCTGTTACCTGCTGTATTGCATAAAAACAAGATTCCACAATTCTACAACCGTTCGATCGCTGGAATTCACAAGCATTCGAGCATTTCGATTACCAATAAGATCGTAGTGTATTTCAGTACACGGACCACACGGACCGGTTTCAGCCATTTCCCAGAAATTATGCGCAGATCCGAATGGAAGAATACGATCCTGTGGTACGCTACAAAAAAAAATTTGCTAGGAAAAATTTGACAAGAAAAAAACCGATCAAAAAAAAACCACCCTTCTCCTCCTCTTTTCTCCAGCCGACGCGGAAATGATAATAAGGTGTAAGTACTGCATAAATACTGCAGATTTTTAAAAAAGATCAATCCAAAGAATCACAAATGTATAAAAATTACCCAATTTTAATCCATATATCCCGACATTCACGATCCTCGTCCATCTTCAGTTTTTCATCGCCGCCAAAATATGAGACATACAATCGATCTTCACTGATCCTCAGAACATTTGTAAGAAATTCCCAGGCAAACTGGCATGCCTGCATCTGAAAAACTTGAATTCTTGGCTTTCTGGTTGTAATTCAACAACGCTTATATCTCACATTAATGGCCTGATGAGCTCAGGTGATTTCCCCGGCCAAGATTCATAAACCGCAACTTCAGAAATGTCCAAGAAAAATTCGATCGCCATTTCAAAGATCAGAAAAACAGCGCCAGACGCAAATAAACTTCACACTAGCAGAAAAACTAAAAAAAAAAAATCAAATCAAAAAAAAATCATAAAACAGAAAAAAGGTAGAATTTCATTCCTATAAAAAAGGATAGAACTTCAAAATACTACAAAACAGGAACAAATCGTCCTCTTCCAAACTCCCAGCCAAGGATATTCATTGTTTGTATTTTTAAAATTTCTGAAACGCTTCAAAGGAGTGACGAAAAAATTTCAATGAATTGCCAGAATACGCTAGAAACGAAAAGAGATGCCCGAAAACTAAAAATTTAACGATAAGTGCAAATAAGCGAATCTACAAACACAAAAAAAGGCCCACGCAAACGTATGATCCTAATCAGTCGTCCACTTATCCTGGCTGAGATCTAAGCTTTATTTGCTGCATATGATTCGGTTTTTTTTTTTAATTTTGAATTTTCATTTATTCAAAATTTACCCCCTCTCCCGTTCCCACAAGAAAGCCAAAGACAAGGCAATGTGAAACATTCAACATGGATATTTGAAAAATTCAGAAAAACCGGGAACGATTTGCGCTGTCATTAGCGGCACTAACATATCGACCACCAGATAACCCCAAACAAATTCAATCTTTTAGCAAATTCGATAACCCCAAACAAATTTGATATTGTTAGTTATAGGACGCCTCAAAATAGAATCAAAAAAAGTATGGAATGCTAGTTTTTTGTACCTTCGAATAACCACCAAACGAGTAGTTTCCGAGCATTTCGAAAAAAGTATGATGCGACAAATCACGGCCAACATCATCGTAATCATTGTGCTTGCCACCAACACGTATGCATTTTTGCCAATTCACAACATTTCGCAAATCGGCCAATTTGCCCTGCGTGCATTTGGTACCCAAAAAAAGTGGCTTGAACTGAAAAAGGAGATCTTTTGAGGAAGTGAGCCTGAAAATCAACGCATCGAAAATGGAGTTTGTGTAAAAATGCTGGTGTGCTCACTCACGGTTACACTGTAAATGGACCATACTGCGAGTTGAAAAAAGTTGACAATTACGTCTACAGTGTTCAGGGAGCAAATATGTTCGTCAGCAATTACGCAAGAGTGTTTGGTTCAAATTTTAGTGTACTGTCAAATTTCTGCCAAAGTTTTTTTTTAGTAAATTTTGGCAAAAAATTTTTGCCAAAAACGGAAAGACCGTACAATGTTTTTGGCAAACTTCTCCGAACAATTTTATGATGTTACACTGAAAACTTAGAATAAATGTCCACGTGACAATAAGAATGACGGTAGAGATAATGACAGTGATAATAACAACAATAATAATAACAATAATAGTAATAATAATTTCGGAACATGATGTTTTGAAAGAAAGTAGAAAATAACAATAATAACAATAAATAATAACGACAATAATAACGATAATGACAGAAGCTGCAGTGATAATAATAATAATAATGATAACAATAATGATAATAGTAGTAATAATAATAATAATAACAATGACGATAATGATAATGGTAACAATAGTAGTAATAATAATAATAACAATAGTAATAGTAATTTCGGAACATGGTGGCTTGGAAGAAAGCAGAAATAAAAAGTTACCTGGTTCATGCCGGCACTAACAAATGCCACCGATCGGTCATGCTCCGGTATAACCGATGATGAGGGTACATAGGTATGGCCACGTTCCGTGAAGAAGTCCAGGAATGAGGTGCGAACCTCCAGTGCTGTTAAACCACGTTGCTGCTGCTGCTGTAGTGGATTTTCGAAAAAACACACAAATCGACGCAGCGGCCAGTACTTATTCATCATCATCATGCCCTGTAAATAATAACAACAATAACTTGGTTGCCAAGTTGAAATACCTGGACAGACGGACATACACACACACACACACACACGCACACACACATACACACACACACATACACACACAGACAGCGGCGTCGCAATATGCATATGTCGCAGTTGCAACTCAGATAAGCGCTGCAACATCTCGGAAGACACTTACAGCGTGCTACAATAGCTACTACCGCCCTGGGGTAATTTTATTCGCCGTTGCCCGAAAAAATTCCCCGCAAATCATGCATGACGCCTCCCAAGCCGAGCCGAGTTTTAACAACTGTCTATATTTTATGGCCCTTAAAACATTTTAGTCGCATAATGCAAATGCCCGCGAATCAGAAGCATTCGAATTCCTCGAAGTGCCCCCGACATGAACGGATGTGACTGGAGGAGGGGGAGAGGGGCTGAGCCTTTCATTTTCACAAAATGCGGATTCTTCGAATCGTGACTTGTTACTCATTATCCTATTGGTCCGTACGCCGTAAATCTGGCTAGCGAAATTTACGAACCAGTGTTGCAAAAGGAAGAAGGAGCGAATAACGAGGGAGCGAAGTTGAAGGCAAAACCCCCTTCACCTTGTCCAGTTGCCTTTCGGTTTCCTGTAATATGCAAATGTACCGCCTCTTGGCTCGAGTTCACTCCTCTATGACATTTAATGTGATGATTGGGAATGAAATTGTCATTACAAGTGTATTCTTTTGGGCGATCTGGAAGTGCGTGGCGGTAGTTTGGAGCTGCTGCCGCTTGAAGCTATTGTGTGTGTCCGGTAGCAGCTTGGAGCCGTTCTTTTTAAATAATTCTTGTGTGAGTGTACTAGTAAAGTCATCGTACTAGTAAAGTCGTGAGTTCTATTGCCTGGCGTTGCTCAGCTGTCGGAGCGCTATTCCGCAGCCAGACAGAAATCCCAGCTCTAGGTACTCCTCCTCCCTAACGTTACACCAGTCTTTCTGTGCTAAAAATATTCTTCTCGCTCGGGTCATCGGCATTGGAGAGCGCAACAACCAGATGAATGGAGAAGTTGCCAGTGCTGCATCGATAGCGTGACAACAACGAACGTCGATGACATACAGCTGCTCAAGTATTCAAGTGTAAGTATCGGCACTGTCCCATCGATCTTTTCCAGTCTGCTGGGTGAATACGGAGGTTTTGACTTGTTTGGATTTCTGGCTGGCCCAGGCGTTCCTTCGACTTCTGGAGTATCGAGCTGGGTCGTCAGCTCCTTGGCGATAACTCGGGGTAGCAGCGGGGCCCTCGTCCTTCGTAAGTCGTCCACAATACCACAGCGCTACAATGGATCGACACTCCACTGGATCGATACACTTTTCTGGATCATCACTAAACTCTACAGTACAGATACGGCGGCCTTATATAGGTCGCTTTCGAGCCAATACAAGACCTATCTATGAGGGAGTCATGATGCAACAGACTTTGACTTTTGCATTTAAAAAAATGTCAGGGATTTTGAGATGGCTCGGTGACGGATAGTCGCAAGAATATTTGAAAGTACCAAAGAAAGCTTGGCAAACACGGAACAGTTTATTTTAGTAATTTAAAATATAAAACTCTGAAAGAAAAAAAAACACAAACAATGCTTCAGAAAAAAAGAAAATTTGAGAAGAGAGCTGTACTGACTACTAAAATAGACGAGGTATTACACACAATAATACTATAAAAAAATTTCACTGTGGGCACCGAAAAACCACACGTACCTCTTACGCACACGTATACGTTGGCAAACAGTTAACCAAATTGGCGGCGTACGTGGAAACGGAAAAATTTTCATTTAAAACGACATGACAAAGGGATAGGGCAAAAGACTGAGCGACACAGACATGCACAAACATACACAGACACACGCAAACAGACACACACAAACATACACACACAAACAGACACATGCGACATATATAAACATACCCAAGCACACGTAGATATACGCAGACACACACAAACATACATAAATACACACATGCATACATACACAGACACACACACACAAACATACACAAATACACACACAAACAAACACACATACAAATGGACAAAACTCAAATTCGGTACATGTATTTTGCCTCAAATTTGAATTCCCGCATCTACAGAGTTCAGAAATTTCAATTTTTTTTAAAATAACTCATCGTCTAAGTCCTTAGTCTTTCAAAAATTTCTGTATTCCCTATGTTTCTCGAATTCCAGTCTTTTTCGTATTCTCGTATTTCAAGGAATTTCCAAATTCGATTTTAAAAAAATTTTACGATTTTCACTTTAACAGACAATAGCACTGAAACAAGCGCACGTAATGTTTTACACAGCCAGTAACTTGTAAAAAACAAAAAACTAATTAAACAAGATTTCGAAAACCTGTCCCATTAAAATTTAGAATTTCGAAAAATGAACAAAATTCTGTCCATAAAAAATGTCCTCAGCTCGGCTCAGGTACCTTCAGCCTGAAGATTTCATACTGCTCAACAACACCAAACTGTTAATCATATTGTCAAAGATTTATGTAAAATATGCATAAATCTTTGACAATATGATTAACTGGACACTTTCTAATTCTGCCGTTGACTTGGATTCCATGGTTTTGAGATTAGTCTAAACAAGATTAGCCTCAAAAAAACCTCCTTTGCTCATGTAAAATTCACAGGGAGTCTACAGAAAGCCAAAGCTCTTCTTCTCACAGCATTCCTATTCATCCACCGACTCGCGTCTTACTACCGGTACCGGGAAGCCATGTTTCATATCGTTCGCTGGCCATTCATAAGTCACATCGATGAGCTCATCGTACGACGGTGAATAGATTTGCGATCGAACGAATTTTTCCATATCTTCCGGTTGTGGATATAAAGCTGCCATACCAGTCTAAAAAAGATGAAAAATTAGATCGGCAGCAGCTCTTCCACGTGCAATCTCCGGCTGGAAAAAAACCTTTTTGACTGGCTCGAGTATCCTTCTCTCAGACCACACCTCATGCACTCCGATGCTGCCTAATTCCTGCTTGAATTCGGAAATTTGTGAAAAGAAATGCTTATTTTATGTGAAAAATGCAAACCTCATAGCAGTGCTTGCCAATTGCAAGTGCAATTTTGATCGAAACTTCGCGAATGTATTTCAGATTTGGATAAATACGGCTCACTCTGGTATCCTTTTCTGTCACCATATTCGCTACTTCCTGAATGATAAACCTCGCACTTGTCCTCACGTTTAGCTTTTAACAATTCTATGAGATATCCACTCCCCCTTCCTGCACCC